CTGTCCCGGGGCACGTGCCAGGCGTGGGGACAGGGAAAGTGTCACTCATCTGCAGTCATGACCCTCCCTGTCTCTCTCTCCTCCAGCTGAACATCCTGGTGGACACAGGGAGCAGTAACTTCGCTGTGGGAGCTGCTCCTCACCCCTTCCTCCGGAGATACTACCAGCGGCAGCTGTGAGTACGCTGTGGGGACACAGAGAGCGCAGCCACCCCTCCATGTGCCCGTGACACAGCCCTGGCCCCACAGAGCCATGCTGTCCCTTCCTGCTGGGGGTCTGACCAGACCCTGCCCGGTGACAGCCTTGGCCCAGGCTGCAGGGAGCTGTCCTGGTGCTTCACAGGCCCGTGGCAGAGCCCCCCAACAGCCACACGTGCGGAGAAAGGCGCTGGCCTTGCCCACCCACGCTGGTCCCTGCGCTTGCAAACGCTCAGCCCTGCGTGCCTGTGCTCCCAGTCCGGGGGGCACCTGCTGTTCCTCCTCCTCCGCCGCCTCCTCCTCCTCCTCCTACTCCTCTTCCTCACTGCTCTTACTCTGGGTCTTTGGCGTTGTTGCAGGTCCAGCACCTACCGTGACCTGCGGAAGGGCGTGTATGTGCCCTACACCCAGGGCAAGTGGGAAGGGGAACTGGGCACCGACCTTGTCACCATCCCCCATGGCCCCAACGTCACCGTCAGAGCCAACATCGCTGCCATCACAGAGTCAGACAAGTTCTTCATCAACGGCTCCAACTGGGAGGGGATCCTGGGGCTGGCGTACGCCGAGATCGCCCGGGTGAGTCCTGGCTCTGCCAGCAGAGGGGGGCACCCTGTCCCAGCAGGGCTTGGGCTGCCTCTTTCCTTGCCTCTGCTCGGTCCCTTGGGGTCTGACTCAGAGCTGTGCTGGTGACCTTGAGCCCTGCTCCAGCAGCAGGCAGAGCCAGGATTGCTGGGGACACAGCGGTCCCGGTGAGGGGAGCTCCCCTGGGCACAGAGAGCCCCTGGAGAAGGGATGGCACTGACACGTCCTTGTCCTGTCTCTGCTTTCCCCTCCCGCCAGCCCGACGACAGCCTCGAGCCCTTCTTTGACTCCCTGGTGAAGCAGACCCGGGTGCCCAACATCTTCTCCCTCCAGCTTTGTGGGGCTGGCTTCTCACCCAACGAGACGGAGGCCCTGGCATCAGTGGGGGGCAGCATGGTGAGCGCTCTGTGGCCAGCAAGCGGGCCAGGGTGGCCAGTGGGGTCCCGGATGGACCTGGCAGCACATGGGGGCAGCATCTTTCCCTCTCTGTTGCAGATCATTGGTGGCATCGACCGCTCGCTGTACGTGGGTGACATCTGGTACACGCCCATCCGGAAGGAGTGGTACTATGAGGTGATCATCGTCAAGCTGGAGGTCAACGGGCAGGACCTGAACATGGACTGCAAAGAGGTGAGGGGGCAGGGGGGACCCTGCCCTGCGGGGGCACTGCTCTGTCACTGCTGCTGGGGCCTCTGCCATCCAGCTGAGGGGCATCAGGAGGGGAGCAGGGCTGGGCTCTGGCACCTGCCTCACCCCTCCTCTGCCCCCAGTACAACTACGACAAGAGTATCGTGGACAGCGGGACCACCAACCTCAGGCTGCCCAAGAAGGTGTTTGAGGCTGCGGTGAAATCCATCAAAACAGCTTCTTCGGTCAGTGAAACCCATCCCTCGGGCCACGGGCACGTCCCCAGGGCCAGCACGGGGCGGTGGGCAGCGTGGCACAGCCCCGCTCACCTCCCCTTTCCCTCCGGCAGACCGAGAAGTTCCCGGACGGCTTCTGGCTGGGGGAGCAGCTGGTTTGCTGGCAGGTCGGCACCACCCCCTGGCACATCTTCCCTGTCCTGTCCCTTTACCTGATGGGAGAGGCCACCAACCAGTCCTTCCGGATCACCATCCTGCCCCAGGTGAGCGTTGGCCCGGCCAGACCCTGCCCAGTGCTGAGCCGGAGAGCAAGCTGGAGCTGGTGGTGTGGGCAGGACCGTGCTGGGTGGGCACAGCCGCCCACCCCCGGGAGCTCTGCCCCATCCCTGTTCCTGACGGTGCCTCTTCCCACAGCAATACCTGCGCCCGGTGGAGGACGTGGCCACCTCTCAGGACGACTGCTACAAGTTCGC